TCCCAATAAGCTGACTGCAAAACAAATATCCAATTAAAAACTCATTTTTAATAGATACTGTACAGCTTGCATGCAGCCAAATCCCTTTACTACCCTTCTGTTTTTAATGCTATTAAACTACATTCCTCAGTTTCAATTTTAGAGGGATGTCTTTAGAGCATCCACCACTACTGAGCATTTAGCAATTCACTGCTTTGCTGGATAGAAGGATGGACTTGGGTTACTTCTACTAGATTTATTATTATTGTTGTTGTTGTTGTTGTTATTGTTTTTCTTTATTATTATTATTATTATTATATATTATATTTACATTTATTTATTTACTTATTTATTTGTTTACTTATTTAGTTATTTAGTTATTTTTCCATCCATGTGGCACCAGGGCCACTGCCTGTTCCACGGCCTTGTCCCACCCACACAGCTCAGCGATGTGTCACAGCCAGACTCCCCAAGGTTACAGGGACGGTGATGGTGACACTCGTGTGACAGCACCTCCCAGGGTGTCACTACAGACAGAGCAGCTTTCTGCTTCCATGTGGGTGAAGCAAGGCTTTAAGCAGCTTCCTCTTCCTGTTCCAGTGTGTGGGGAAAAGGCATTTGCCTTTTAGCCTTATTATTTATTTGAGATCATTATTTCTGGGCTATTTTGGTCACCTACTGGGATTTTGGGTGCCTTCAGCTTCTTGGGCTGTTCCTGGACATCCCCTCCAGCCTCCTGCATTGCTGGTTCTCCTGTCTCCATCCCTTCTCCCCTGACAGAGACAACACCAGCATGTCCTCACTACCCCAGATTTGTCCTGTCCTCATCTCTCCCTGTGCCTGCAGATCCAACACCACTGATTTATGCACCGATATCCACACTGGCACCTTCTCTGCAACCCATTTCCCACCTGCAGGCCCAGCCCCAGCCACTTCTGTGTCTGTGCACCTCATCCTGGGGGAGCCGCTCTGCCCCAGGAGATCACCCCAAAGGTCCCTGTGCAGAAAGCAGTGGTTGCTGCCTTGTCCCAGTGGTGTGGGGAGCACGGCTGCTTCAGCAGCACACCGACAGGCCTGGTGTGACAGCACACGGATGTGCCATCCCCATCATTATTCCTCCCTTAGCACCCTGGGGCTGTAAAGCAGCCTCATCCAGAAACCCATTTAGCACCTGAGTATATTACCCCCCATAGAGGAGATTAAATGTCATTCTTTAGATTAAGCTTGGCTTTAAAAACAATTACACTTGGCAAGGCAGGTTACAAAGTGCTTTTATCCTGCATTGCCTACAGACAAGCTTCGCTTGCCTCTTACAGATTAGGATTGTTCCTTGAAGACACATCCGAACAGCCCTCAGCCACCAATTTTGATGTAGCCCACCCAAACACATGGTTCAGAGAAGCCAGAGACCTGCATGCCCACAGAACAGTTTTATGTACCCAGCACAGCCTTCTCTCACCGGAGCCCTGACATGATGCATTTTACTGAGTTTCAGTCTGTATCCAAGTGAGATTTAACCTGGCTGGAGTGAAACAGAAAAGCAATCAGGTGGTGGATTGGAAAAGAATCATTTGCTATTTTTCAGTATTAAAAATGTAAAATGTAAATAATCTAAAAAAAAAACTACATCAGAGGCCCTGAATTTGGCTAAGCGCACATAAATGCAGGGTAAGTCATAGAATCATAGAATCATAGAATCATAGAAAAAATAAGGTTGGAAAAGACCTTCAAGATCATTTGGTACAACCATCCCCCTACCACCAATGTCACCCCCTAAACCCTGTCCCCAAGCACCAGGCCCAACCTTCCCTTGAACACCCCCAGGGACGGGGACTCCACCACCTCCCTGGGCAACCTGTCCCAACGTCTGCCTGCTCTTGCTGAGAAGAAATGTGTCCTAAATGTTTTAACTGTTGCAGAGTAGTGCTCTTTGTCCAGTTCTTGGTTTTAATTGTTGAAGAGTAGGGGCACGATGTTTCCATTTTTCCATTCACCAAGAACATCGCCTGACTGCCAGGACTTTTCAGCTATGATGGACAGAGGCTTGGCAACTCCACCAGCCAGTTCCCTCAGGACCCTGGGATTCATGTCATCAGGTCCCACAGACTTGTACCTGTTTAAATTCATCAGCTGGTCTCAAATGTGCTCTTCACTTACAGTGGGAGGGACTTTGATCCCCCAGCCTCCATCTATGGGTTTAGGGAAATGAAAGACATGGGAAGCCTGTCCACCAGTGCAGACGAAGGCAAAGAAGGTGCTGAGTACCTCAGCCTTCTCCATACCTGTCATTACCAATTACTCAGATACAGAAACTCACTCTTAATATAAGAAATTAGCCACCTATAATCACTTAAACACTTAGGCCCAGGCCCCCTGCTGCTGTATGGCTGAGGGGCCAGCCTGTTCCTCGTATCGCCGCGGTGCCAGTGATATCTCTGATACGTCTGTGGGCCTCACACTGAGGAGGGCTGCCGCTCGCCTTGCTCCTTTCTCGAGTCTTCTTCTTGCCTCAGAGGCTCTCAGAGGACCGAGTAGATGAGCAAGTGGCGGGTCAGCTGTAGGGGGGCCTCTTTTATAGGGCCAGGGGCAAAAGGTGGGGTGGTGGTGGCCACCGTGGCCTCAACGAGCCTCTGTGATGCCCAACATGAGTGGCCCAAAGGCGTCTGTGCTGGGAGCAGCCTGGAAGATGCCCTCACGAGGAGGGTTGGGGGGGCTCACAGACCCTTTTCTGGGGCTGGCTCCTCTAGGCCCAGGCAAGGAAAAAGCAAAACCCATGGGCACAATCTCCAGAAGCAAATAAATGAATGCTAAAGGGCGTACCGACCAGTGGCAATGAAACCTAGAAAAATAACTAAAATATTAATAATAAAAAATCTAGTCAATCAATTATTCAAAATAAGGATTTTCAGCTTCCACGTTTCATGTATGATTAAACCCAGTAATAAATATTTTGACTGCAAAATCCCAGGTCTGAATTGCACCCTGACCCTCGCAAATGATCTCATCATCTAGACTTTGCTTGTGTAATAGCAGCTGTTTTAATTTTCCTGCAGAAATTCATGATTTATTTCTTAATTTACATGAATAGGGCACATTTTTTGCGTTGCTGTAGTGTTTTAACCTCTTTTTTTTTTTTTTTTTTTTTTTTTTTTTTTTTACCATATTACCAATTTGTTCTCTGTTAAAGGAAAAACTGTCATGCAGCAAAACTCTGTTAATATCAGCTTTTTCCTTGTAGCCCAATTCCGTTTTCTTTGCTTCAGGTGAAAATGAATTCATTAGCAATGATCCTCAATGACTGCAGCCCCTGCAGCTCCAGACATTTTGAATGAATGCAGTCCCATTCTGCATGTAAAACCTGGAAAATTCATCTTGAGTGAACTCCCACCTGCCAGTCCCTTTCCAAATCCCCCTGGAAATATATTTTCCTGCCAAGCCCATGGGCTCTGCTATGAGGATGCTGCAAGCAAAAGCTGTGAACACCCATGGAAAGGAGCCACCACGTTGGCCTGACCCAGCTCCCCCTGGATCTGTCCCCAGAGCACTGAATTTGGAGCAAAACCAGCTCAGACCCAAACCCTTTCCTTGCAGACAGCATCTGTGCTGCTCCTGTGCCCATGGAAGAGCATCACGGGGCTCCTGAGCCCACGAGAGGCTTTACCAGCAGAGCAGGCAGGCGATGCCTTTTGCTTTGTCCTTCCAAAACACATGGATTTAAACACCCCCAGGCTGGGCTGTCCGTGATGCTCTGCATCGACCGTGGCCTCACCGCTGACCGCATGCTCATGATTGACATAGACCCACTCCAGCATGACCTTGGGCTTTGCTCAGCCCCGGGGAGCCCACACCAGCAGCTTGTCCCCTCCACCAGAGCACATATAACCTTGTTAACATGTTGTTGTTTTTGTTTTTTTTTTTCTGTGGCCTCAGAATGGCTCTACACATGGTTTTCTTGGGGGGGAAAAATAAGGGGGCTGTTTTAAAATGACCTGTCCCCTAAAATCCATGATTTGGCCAGCAGTCAGGGGCATTAGGAGGACACCTAATGGATAGACAGACAGAGGCTCACAGCAAGGCAGTGTGATCGCAGAGTCATTTCCTTAGGGAATAAACCTATGGGAAAAAAATAAATAAAAAAGAACATTGTCATTGTTTATCTTCTTTCAGCAGGTTTTGTTTTTTCATCGGAAAAAGTCAGCAATGCAGCAAACAGCTTCATGAATACACAGATTGCTTCTGGCAGCTACCAATTAACAAAGACTGGGCTGGTTCAATCCCCACGTGGCCGTCTCCCTGGGAGTTTCTTGTTTTGTACAAACCATTTTTCATTACAGAAAATACACATGCCTCGCCCCACAGTTCTGGCTGGCTCCTGCTACGAGAGGGAGCTCGATGCGGGATGGGCAGCGTTGAGGGCTGGCTGCGTGCCCTGCAGGACTGGGAAGGCCACAATGAACCCAGCCCGTACACCTCCTGCCCACTCTCAAGCTTTTCTGATGCTTCTGCTCGGATGGCACGTGCATGGAGGTGCATGAGACAACATTCATCTGCAGTCAGCCTGTGCTTCTCTGAACCATTCACAGCACCTGCATCTGAAACTCCAGGTTCAACCATGCCATATCACTGAGGTTTTGAAAGATTTGTGCACAGACCTTTGTTCATGGGTCAAACCAGGCAGGAAAAAGTGTCCTAATATGGATAAAGAAACTTCTGGTTATATGTAAAGATCTACATCATACACATGTCAGCATTGGGTCCCATTACAGCTACTGGAAATCCAGCCAGAGGAATTTGGGGTGTTACTCATGGTAGCCTAAAGCCAACATCTACCTCCAGGTAAACATCCTACCCAAAACATCCCAGGCTCAGACTCCTCAGTGTGCCCCACTGCAAGCCCAGCATCACACCTTGCACCAAATGTGGAAGAATAAATGTAACATTTGGGTCTCCAAGCAATCACTTTACAGCTTTACCCGAGAGACAGCACATGCAATGAACCACAGATCAGGGAGACACGGTGCTTAAAGTCAGCTATGATGGACAGCTTTTTATTTTCCAATGTTTTAATTTAACAAAGTGCTACATTCCATAGTTACAGTATGAGGAGTTCGTCTCATCCGAAATAGAAAACCACAAGAAAGCACAAGGACTGCTAATATCACTCTATGGAAGCAGTGCAGTCCAAAGGAACCTCACCTAGGGTGAACATCTGGCCTTGGAGACACCTTTAAAAACCAGCAGCTGCTGGGTGCAGGACCACTTCAGGGCAAGATCTGCACCCCAGGCGGGCTGGTTCCTCCCGCTGGAGATGGGGCTGGACATGCTGAAGGGGTGGCGCGATGCCTACAACAAATTCTGGCTTGTGCTATCAGGAAATCCCAAACTGGGCATCCACAGGGAAACAGAGGCGAGCTGCTCGTCTTGTGCCAAGTCAGGAGATGGTTATTGCTGCAGCACAGTCGGCGTTGCAGCTGTGCCTTGGTGCAGGGCTCAGGCTGCATTAGGAGTGGCGTGACCCACCTCTGTGTTCAGCATCTCGTGGGTCACCCAGCACGGATCATGCAGGACCAGAGGGCACTCCTCTGAAGATTTGCTTTGTACTCTATTTTTTTTTTTTCAAAAGAATCTGCTTGTTTGGCTGTTTATTTTAGAAATGCAGAGGTATAAATTAAACAGTAGTGCTTTAAGAGACCGGAGGCTTCGGCTCCCACCTGAAACCCTCTCCCTGCCCCATCAGCAACCTGACAATTTCAGGCAAATGAATCTAACTCCAGGAACTGTGTATAGAATATTTTTAAGAGCCTGATCCAAAGTCTACCGGCCTTGGATGAGAGGAGAAAGAGCTGGGAGATGTTTGTGCTTTAAGGACCTGCAGAAATTTCACTGACATCAGGGGCACTGCAGAAAACCCTGTCTGTGCTCCAAAAGCTCCTACGTGTTTCACTGGCACCTGCAGCTGGTTTTGGCTGTCCCTCTTGCCTCCACTCCAAGGAGAACTGAATTGGAAGATATGGGGAGCATCCCAGCTGTGGGGCAGATGCCTAACCAAAAGTAATTATTATAAACACCTGTACTTCAAATGGATGTTGGTTGGGAGCTCTCTGCACTGCTGAGCTGCCCATAAAGTTGGCAAACAGAAAACTTGTGAGGGCAGCAGCTCCCAACCAAGGCACCATGCCCTTGGATGACAAACCTGGGAGTGATGCCATGGCACAGCAGTGTTCAGAGCCACAGCCAGGCCTGCGAGTGAAGCTGGACCACAAGCAAAGCCTTTGGGCAGCCCTCCCAGCCCACAAACTGGGCTCCAGCACAGACTGCAGAGCCAAGAGCTGTGCATTTGGCTGGACATCCCACTTAGCTCCAGCTTGCCCACCCGTGGCACTGCTGATGTCCAGCATCACGGCCCCCCACGCCACGTCCTCGCTCTCAGAGACACCAGGACAGCCGGCCGATGCACCCAGACACCACCTTTGTCACCCTGACAGACAGCACTGCCTTTAATTTCAATTTGTTACGTTGGGGAGGGAGAAGAGAGAGAGCGAAACTGATTGCCACTGTGGAAAGTTAGCGTTCCCTGAGCTGAGGATTTATTAGCACAACGAAAGGCCGCGGTGCCTCCCCAGCAGCCTTTCCCATCCATCAGTTTGACAACCCGCCCAAAGAGCTCTGCCAGGGCTGCGGTGTTTGCATTCAGATCAGCGCCTCGCTCAGCCATCCCTCCTCCTTGCTGGCCAGGAGCCGGGCGTCTTGTCGGCCATGAACACTACGTGTGCGGTTATCACAAGCCTCACACACGTTACCCTTAGCAGCAAAGCGAGAGGAGGCCGCCCTTCACAGGCTGCTGCTGCACCAAGCTGATCTCCAGCTATTCAGATCTCAGTGGTACTATTTGGCAGCAGCAGCAGCAGCTCCTCTTTCCCAGCATTTAGCTCAGGTCTCTCCTTCAGGCACGCAGAGGCCTCGGCCCGCCCAGCTCCATGACAGACCCCCTCACGCAGGCAGGGCAGTGCCCGTAGCCACCATGCACCCTCCCAGCCTGCCAGGCCATGCTCCTCAAAGCACCTTGCAGCTGCCTACATGGTCTTGTCTGCTTGGTGCTGTACCTCAGGAGCTTTTTTGGAGGTGATCTCAAGCAGAGTGGAAGGGAGGACGGGTTGCTCTACCTCACAACCCCTGTCAGGGACACGTTGTTGAAGAGCCCAAGGGAAAACGTTTCCCCAAACCCCAGCTGCCAAGACGGGACAACAAGCAACGCTGACTGGGCTGTTAACACCTCCCAACCATCTCCAGGCTCTAAGAGATTTAGAAATGAGAAGGAAACAAGGAGAGATCAGTCCAGAAGGAAAGCTCTTAGCCTGGACCTGTGATAGAAGAGGTTTCAGCTTTGGACTGGGGCACTTGGACTTAACAGTGGGCTGCCAGTCAGCGGCTGTCGGGAGATCTGGGCTGGTTTTTGCAAGGCAAAATCCTGCTGATGAATTTTCAGGAATGAGAAGGGAGAGAGGAGAAGGGAGCCCTGGCTGGGAGAGCCTGTCCCAGAGGGACTGGGGAGTGGAGGCAGCTCGGTGTGCTGAGGGACAGCTTTGTCCTCTGCCTCCCAACCTGCTCCCCATGCACTCAGTGGGATGGATGTGAGGGCCTCGCATAGCTCCTGGGCTGGAAGACTAGCATTGGTAGCAGCATTTGGAATATAGGTTGTCCCACTTGGCCTTCTCACTGGATGTGAGGAGAAGGCCTACAGGAAAGGACCTGGGCTCTGAAGAGTGTTGCTTGTCTGGAGCCAAACATCCATCTGATGACTTAATGCCCACGAGACCCTGACCCTCTGAAGAGAGAAGTGAGCTTCAGGCTCTTCTGTTCTGATCTTCTGAGTGTTGTCTCTACCACGCAAACCCACGAGACATTTGCTTACCCTCACCTACATCTGTCTTTGCAACCTGACAGGCCTCTTCACCTTTACAAAGGATGAAGCCCTGCGTGGGTGCTCCTCAGACACACTTCCACCTCCTCAAAGACTCGGCGGGACTTGTCTCGGCACACATGCTGGCTGACCTTTTTTCTTAATCAAGTCTCCTCTGGTGACAGCCGCTGTTCCTTGCATGAAGGATGGTTCCCCACAGAACAGTGATTTCCACCTTGGAAACATGAATATTTTGCATAAATGTAAGATTAAAGAGTCATTGCACAACTGGCAAGAGAGTGAAAGAAATGCAGCCCTTTGTTTTTAGCTATTTTGACTGTGCAAAGCACCATTACCTTCCCCTGCTCGGTCCCTAGAAGGTCAGGCACTGGCTGTCCCCCTCTGCACCCTAGTGCCAGCAGCATGGAGGCTTGCCCTCACCCCGTGCTTCACCTCCACAGCCGTCCATCCTACAGCTTCATCTCTTCCCCCATGCTCAGACCTCAACCAGATCCTCCAGCCAGGGCAGCCACTGCTTTCCAATTATCCCCCCATCAGCCATGAGTCCCTTGGCACCTCGGCAACTCAGCCACTTTCGGTGCCTTCCTGCTTTTGGTGGCACAGAGACAAGGCCCACCAGCTCTCTCAAAGGTTTCACAAAGCTTTCAGGGGTTGAAAACGCAACTCGCAGTCAGGAAAGGAGGCAGACGCTCCGCTTCCACCGCTGTGTGAACGCAGCCTTGGGTTAGGGGTGAAGCAATCACTAGTACCTACAAACAGGGGGCAGAGGCTGAGGCAACCTCTGCCCTGTCTTTCCTTGTACCTACCTGCACACTGAACAAAAGCTAAGAGATCCATGCAAGACTACCCGTCAGTACGTGAGCGCTGGTATTTATTGTGCTGTAACAGACAGTGCTGGTTGAAAATGGACTAAGATTTTTGTCGTGAATCAAGTGTTGAGGCCATTCCCGTGTGTTTCCAAGAAGCGTGGAGCAGAGCTGAAGGGAGGGCTTGTAAAAGAAGGGGCGGGAATCAGGGAACAGAGCGTAGAAATGTGCTTCAAACTGTATCAACAACACGGTACTTGGGCGCTTCTCAGGTGACGAGGGATACAGTTCAAGTGGATAACTCATTAATTAAGCAGAGCAGCTAATCTCAGCACTAATGAACTCTAGCTCAGGTAATGTAACATTTAAAATTAACAAATTGGACAGAAGTCATTCACAGCAAAGATTTCCATTCCCAGGTTAGGTGAGAGCAATTGTTATGATTAGATTACTGCCAGCCAAGGACCAAAATAGTACACCGGGGTAATAGGAGAATAATCATCCGTACGGATCAGCTCCCGCTGTAACAAGACGCGCTGCGGATCTGAATGAGGCGCCGGGTGTGAATGTGAAATCTCACTACGGTACCAAAACAAACATCACTGCGTGGTGCACGTAGAGCATAGCATGCCTGGTTCGCCGGGGTGGTACCAACCACTGCTCGGTGTTCGGGGTGGCTGAGAGCAGCGATGCAGCAGAAAGTCCTTCCTTCTTTTCCTCCCCCTCCCTCCTTTTAAAAGTCACTGGATATCACAAGGGCACTGCAGTTCGATTCAAAATTCGTCTTCGGAGCTGTCGGCTAAGAGCATTACTCGGTCTTGCATGCTGTTAAATTCCCTCTGCTAGGGGAAGAAAAGAAACATTAAAGAGCTCAATATGCAAACTGAAATGAGCAGTGTCTGGATCCCTCCCCAGTACTCCAACCAAGAAGTCCAGTGCACTTCAACCCAGAGAAACCACTCTCCATAACCAGTTGGCTCTTACATTACAACCAAAAGTTAACTGGAGAGTGGTGGGAACAGGTTGGGGTTTTTCCTTTGCAGTTGCTCTACCTTTCTTTTATGCCTCTTCGAGCCATTTCTCCTCCGGCGATTCATAATCTTAATGCTGTAGAGTGCTCCGAGGATGAAGAGGGCTCCAGCTATCCCGACTCCTACAGGAACCAGCATCCCTGACATGTATCCTGCCTGCGTTGGAAAGAGACAAGCGGAGCAGAAATCACAACAGCATCCTTTCAGAGGTATTTTCCACTACTCCAGGTGGAAAATATAGTTGGACCAGCTGATCTTGGAGGTCTTTTCCAACCTTAATGATTCTATGACTGCAACACAACCCTACACTTTCATCAGACTTTACTGTATTTGGGTCCTTCTCCCACCCGCATAGGATGGGATCTACTCCCAGGATTCCAAAAAAAGCCTCAAACCAGCCCCACTGCAGGACCTGGATGGCCACCACAACTGCTCACTCACGCTCAGCTTTTTCTAGCAAATACTTCTTTCCAACAGCTGAGAGCTCAGCATTTGCCCCCTTTGGTATGGAGCTGCGAGGGCTGGGGTGACGTGTCTGTGGATACACTTAGCAGTGTCTTCCTGGCCAGCTCTTATTGCTAGAAGATGTCTAACCACAACCAAACTGCTAAATATACCCTGACTGAAAAGATTTACAGAGCTTCCATGCTCCCCAGAGATATCTGTCATGGGAGAGTGAGTGCCCCAGGACCTGCTGGAGCCCCCTTGGCTTCATACTCAAAATCTGTGAACCAAATGCCTTTGTTTTGCATGGGAAGGGGTCACTTTGAGCAGGACAAGGATGTAGGGGGGTACTCATGCCTGCAGCTGGTCTTGTCGCAGAGCAGATGCAAATCAGCCTTAATGCAGTAGTTATGATCCATACGTATTGACATTTTAAACTCATTGCCAAGAGTTTAAAATGTCAATAAATATATATAGCACAAATAATTTGTAAACATTTAAAATCCTTCCAAAAATATTCCCACGTGATCATTACTTTACTGTTTAAATTAAAATTAAGCCAAGCTGCTCAGTGCTGCCTTCATTCACGCTGCAGCAGCGGCGTTCTCTGAGGCTTTACCCTTCTCCTCCCACACACCCGAAATCAGATTTTACACCTGCCGAGGGACAGATGCGCGATCCAGAGGATTACCAGGCGCCTCTTAGCAAGACTCAGTCCAGTGCTTGCAACCGTGTTCATCTGCATTCCCAAACTGCAAGACGACCTAACAACACATGCTGACGCTGTAATTGCTTTTCTTCCATAATCCGCTGAGTGGGAAAAACAAAGGCAGGCAGTGCGTGCCGCCCTGGCTTCACAGGCTTATCTGGAGAATGAAAATACCTGCTCTCACCTGGGACAGACACAGATGAAAACAAGGGCTGTTCTGCCTTCACAAACCCCTCCAGATCCCGCTCGGCTCTTTAAATAGTAACATCTTCGTGTCTGCACTGCAAAGCTGGAGGGCTCAGGCCTTCCGCTGCATCCCGCAGCATCCCCGCGATGCTGGGGGGAGCTGTGTGTGGCACCCCAGTCCCCAAAAAGGAGGTTAGGGAGAACACAGCTAAAAGGCTGCATCTCTGTGAGGCAATTAAGGTGCCTTAATTGGGTGACCTAATTAGCGCAGCGTGGGTTGTGCTATTTCTGGAACCTTGCTGCTGGCACAGGCGGTGAGGGGAGGCTGGCAGTGCCTTTTTAGCTGCTGCCCAGTTGAGTTTCCCTACCAGAAATTGCTGCTTTTAACACGGTGAATTCTCCTGTCAGCCCGTGAGCCCTTCCCAAGCCTGGCCAGCAGATGCCCCTTTTGCAGCATTTCCCCCACAGCTGGGTCATTGGTTTATACCCCAAATGCCTGCGATGTGAGCCAGGTGCAGGGCCCGTCCTCCCAGCCCTTCTGAGTCACGTAGCCCAAGCTGTGAGGGCTTTTGCACTTGCTTGATACAAAATCCCATTTCACAGGCAGCTCCAAAGCCATTTTTTTACCCCTTGCCCATGGGGAAGAGAACAGTTTCTTTACAGACCCTAGGGATGCTTTTAGGATCCCCAGTCCATCACCGTGACCTTCCTGGCTCTGCTGGACATTGAGATAACAGCAATAGAGGATTTCAGAGGAACCTCATGTCCCTTATTTTCTATTCCCAAGACAACATTTGCACAGCGTTTTCAGGAGACAGGACATATTTATCAGCTCACTGCCCCGTGCTCCTGGTCCCACACTGACCACACCGTCCCCTCTCAACAGGGAAGACGAGGAATCGGGGTGAGCAGGCTAATCTGTGAGTGATGTGAGTGGGTTTTGTTGGGCTTTTCTAAGAGAAAAACATGATTAAGGAAAATGAGCAAGGTGAAAGATCTGCCTCCAGGTGTCTGCCGTACCCTGCAGGAGGGAGATGTCTCTCTGGTCAGAGGACAGTAGCAGATCCCTGGTTATACCAACACTGCAAGAGGTTCAGGCCCTACAGAACAACTCTTATGGTGAGTGGAACATGCACCCAGCTCTTGGGGAAGTGAAGAGGTGGCCAAAAAGATGCCAAAAGGGACGAAGTGAAAGCTCTGGCTTCAGTGAGAAGATGCCCGATGTCCCCAGGCCTGTGTGGTGCCGGCCGGGTAGGCCCGAAGTGAGCTGGTGACGCGCATGCAGGCTGCATGCACCCCGTCTTGGTGTCTGCTTGTTACCTTCACCAGGAAAACCATTCTCTGTCCTTTCAATGTTCGCTCTGGCTGAATCCCAGGCCAAGATGCTCTGCTATGAGCAAAGATGGTGCTAGACATGCCTCCTTCCTATTGCGGGCAGAAAACCAACTCAACAAGGGCTGGGCAGAAACCCTCCTCAACCCTTCCACTCCCCAGTCCTGGAAACAGATGCCCAGAGCCCTGCTCTCTTTCCAGACTTGGTGCTGCTGAAATTTTTTGGGGGTGACACTGGAGGTCTTTGCTTGCTGGGTGACAATCTGCTCAAACTTAGCCATGTGTTTTCAGGGGCTGAAGTTTCCTATCGAGTCATCATTCCTTGAGTTGTTTTTTGTGTTTTTTTTTTTTTTTTTCTATATTAACTCTGGTCCTATTCAAGAGTTTCTAAGCCCCGCTGAATTACAAAATGTTCTTGTCTTGAAACACTCCTGTCACCTCATTTCTAGCTTCACTGCTTTGCCGTCGTCAACATAGCATTTGGAAGGCTTCACAACCATTTCCAAATGTTAATATTTGCCCTAGGGTAGCAGAGCCTGAAAATCTATCAGAGACTGTGCCTGGTACAAGTCCTGATTCCACGTACCACCACTCTGTAATGTCAGGGAGAAAAGATCAGGAGCTGGTATCTTTTCAGTCTTCCTGTGCTCACTCTTTGTCCTTCCAGGAGTTTGCAGCTCCTCCTGCATGGGGGCAGGAGACCCAGCGGCAATGCACAGCCAAGACTTGGGCTTAAAGAAAAGGGGTGGGGGCAAATTAGAGGGCAATAAAAAATGTAACTTGGGTAGTGCAAAGAGGTGACTTGCTGATGCAGAGAGGTCCCTCAAACACCCCTGTTCCCCGTCCTGCTCCTAGCTGCTACTCATTGGGGATGTGCTGTGGATTTATACCAATACACATAGCAGCAGCATCTGGTTCATTGTCTCCCAGAGAAAATGTTAAGCCCCTTCTCAATCATCTTTGTAGAGATAATGAACTGTGCTGGCAAGAGCTTATTTATTCCTGCAAGTGAAAATGGCTTTGCTTTTAAAGTCATTGAGAGAAACACTGAGCCTCTTACCTTATCTTTCAGCTTCTCCATCCAGCTTCTCACTGAAAAATAAGACAAAAAAGCTGTAATCATGTTACTTATATTAATTAGTAACAAATGATAATGAACGCATTGAAATAGACACTAATTAACTTGACAAGCTGATAACATTTTTCATTAGATTTCCTCTTCTGTTCATGAAAAAGAGCAAATGCAGCAAATCAACAAGAGAAACTCTTTATGTGAGTTGGCAGGCAAGAAGCTTGCTTTTGCCTGTGCAGTTCACATCTTCGGAGTGATTAAAAGAGGAATTGGGATCCAGGAAACGGGATTTCAGGTTGGGGGTTTCCAACCAGTACTTCCCATACACACACTGGGATGGTTAATAAGGAGATCACTTTATGGCATGGCCAGCCCCTTCACTGCCCAGCTCTACGTAGATATTGCTCTCTCTGTTAGGCATAAGACTGTAGAAATGCCTAAAATAAGTATTATTCCCTGTTTTTTATTCCCTTCCTCTTCTGGAAGCAGCGACTGCCTGCTCGGGGAAGTCACCAGGTACCACCTGAGGACTGGGAGAGCACTGGAGGTGCTACGCTACTAAATCAAGGAAAACTGTGCTGCCATCACGGAGACTTTCAGCTCTAACAGTCAGTTTAAGACCCATGAAATATGGTACCCGTGAATTAAACGCCTTTAATGGCATCTACTTGGGGATGAAATATTAAGCTGATCTCAGAGAACTGCAGGCGCTTGGCAGTGATTCCAGCAGCAGCTCTGCATTTGCCTGCACAGCACGGAGGACCAAATGCTCAGCATTTAAGGTATCAGCTCTTGTTTCAAGCAAAGAGCTGAAGGTATCAGGGCTCAGCAACTGTGCTTTAAGCCCTAAGGAAGGATCCTCGGTGCTCCAGGAGGACATTGCTACAGGCACAAGGGGGATCTCGGCAGCACCAATGTCTTTCTGAGGGTTATTTCTCCCAGGGTACATCAGATCCCAAATGTAACACGCTGTTTATGGTGGGAGACCCATTTCCAAGCTTGCTTTCTTACAGAAGCTCTCTTCAGAGCTTTTGTTAGCAGCGTTGGAGCCTGCCTGTTGATGTGCCACTGAGGGTAGCCATCCTTCTGCAGTGACAGCACGGCTGTGAGGGTGCAGCTCCAAGGCCGTCAGCAAATTACCTTTTTATGTCTCTGACACAATATTGAGCAGCACAGCCGTAAGGAAGTAATAAGACTCGGCCCAGACATCAGCACCACTGAACCAAACTATGAATTTGAACAAGTTTGAAGGAATCTGAACACTCCCTTTTTTAACTGTCAGTAGCTTGACACTTTCCAACCAGAGGATCCTAAATTATCTAGAGGTGAAAAAAGCATGAAACAGGCAGAGGAGCATACACACAAAGTCACCTAGCTCTGAAGGTAGCTAAGGAAAAGAAAAAAACTACCAAGGAGACATACTTGGACACCCACAATATTAGAAGAGGACAAGTGGACTTATGTGAGCAGCTCTTCCCACCAGTTGTCCTGACTTGCATGGACTAACCCATGGTGCCACAAATACCCCAAACCAAAGGAAACCATCCCAAAACTCTTACCAAAGAGCCTTCTGATGACTCTCATTTTTTAATGATGCTGTTGTGCTGTATTCCAGGCTCCTGGGAGCAGTGACAGTGACTCAGAGGCCCACAGCAACAATCAAAGCTTCAAAACTGCACCACATGTTCGGACGCTCCTGGCTGATGTCCTCCATGCACACGTATGGACAGCTACATGTGTACCCTCGGTGTGTGCACAGAGCCACCTAAAGCTGCCATGATGCCCACCTGGCCCCAGCTCAAGCTAAGCACAAAGCCTGTTTTTGTGCCTTTCACCCTAACTGTGTCGGATCGGTGATCTCATCAGTAGCCCTCCTGCTTTCTCGTAGCTGAACAACAACAGAGCCTCTAAAGCAGCAATTAACTCCGAGTATTTCCGACAGTTCACGTGTAGGGCTGCTATTTCCACCAGGGGATGATCTAATGACGCTCTACTCCTTGCTTTCACCAAACGCAAGCTCTGGCTTCATTCCCCTCTGCTCCACAGAACAACAGCACCACATCTCTTGGGATTGACAGATGCTACTGTATGAACTCAAACTTGCTATTTATACAATTTCTTATTATTAAAACCAACCTCCTTTTCAGCAGGGTAGAGCACGTGTCAGATGCCTTCGGGAATCAGCCTAAAGCACCGGGCTGGCTGGCTGGATCTTGTGACAAGTCAGTGAGCATTACATTGAGCACGTTACAAACACTTGCAGTGCTACTAAAGCACGGAATTGTTTTAACACCTCTGAGGAAATGACAAAGCGCGGTGCCATTAAAACCGAGCACTTTTTGTTCCAATTATTCCCATACATGAGGACGCTAAGTGTGGGGAGGAAATAAGGCGCTTTTTCAAGTTAGGCTTGATATCTATGCTAAATGGCTACCATCAGTTAAATTTGGACTGCAGCCTCTCATTAGGGATAATTATACATAATTAATATTCTGAACTTAATCTTGGAAGAGGAACACTGCGGATGGCATCATCTCAGAGAAACAAAACACTCTCCAAGAACACCAAGAGACTTGCCAATGAGGCCAGGCAAATAATCAGTAACAATACTCCATTCCATGTGTTTTTCATCACCCCCCCCTTTTTTTTTCCTTCCCCAGACACTGAATGTCCTGAACAAATGGCAACAGCCTCGGGGTGTGAAATTACTAACACGGGGCCTGCAGTGCCAGCCCTACTCCATGGCATTTTAAGCATCATGATCAGTACAAACTCTGCCTCAGCTGAATTTTGAGCCCTGGGTTTCACAGGGAGTTGAATTAGACCAGCGTGGAGCCCCTCTGAAAACGACGTGCATAATCTGGCCTTTTCTCAGTGATTTATATAATGTCTGCATCTCTGCGAATGAATTTTAAATAACGTACAGCTTCAGATCACCGACAAAGGTAATCTCAGTCTGAGCAGTGAGCTGCACAGGGGGTGAAATGCCTGTGCCAAACACAGAGCACGTCTGGAACTGGCATCAGAGCAGCCCGGGATGAGTTCAAACAGTTGCACGGGGCTATTTTTAGTCATTTTTACCCCTCAAAAGCCTGCAGACAGCTATTAAGAAGCTGCAGTGCCAACAGCAGGGAAGTTACGCTCACTAAATGAGGTCCAACAACCCCTTTCACCCCTGGACTTTGCGATGCTACAAATCCAAACCAGCCCTTGCGGGAGATGGCTCTGGTTTCTGCATCAGAAACCAAAGGTCCAGGTGGCCCGGGGTGAGTTTCTTTGCTCTAGTACACATTTATAGCCAGCCTTCAGTAAGTGGCTTGCAGCAGGACAGCTCAGGTAAATACACCACACCTCACCCATCAGCTACTAGCACCTCTTCCCACCTCATCCCATGTCTGGCTCCCTGGAGGGAGCTGCAGCTCCTTGTGCCTCACCTGAACCTCTGGACTTCCTCCCACTGATTTAAGTTGTGGTTTAAGAGGAAAAAACGAGCAGTTTAAGACTACAGATATATCTTATAGTCTTATCGCCTCCAGGATATTTCTGAGTGTGTGTTCCCATCCCTCAGCTTCCCCCTGCGTCCCACAGCTTTGCATCCCCTGTAAGACTAGATTTAGTGAGCTTAACCAAACTACTCATATAAAGAAATATAAATATAAAATATAAATATATAAAGAGTGTGATCAGATATAATTTACAACAAAGCATCATAGAGGGAGAGGTCTTGAAGCTGCTTGCAAGTTCAGCTGCAAAGGTCCTCCAGCAGCAAAGAATTTGCATGATTCACTTCAAGGAAAAATCCAGTATTTGTCACTTCTGACTGAAAAAAAATAAAATTGCTTTAGTATGACAGAACATATTCACTGCAAGTCTCAACCATAGCCTGACACTTTCCTCCCAGGGAAGAGCCCGACCTGGTGGTGCTGTGCTCTGGGATCTCTCAGCACCCTCACCTTACAGCCCTGCAGAGCAGAGCCCCTGCAGGAAGGGGCCTTGTTCCACATAACTCACCCAAAAGGAGAGAGGATGTCCAAAAGGAGATGGGAGATCTGGGAAAAACACACAAAACGTGTCCTCTGCAGTGACTCCTGTGGCTACCACACATCCCCACCGTGGAAAAAAGTGGGTCCATCGGTACAGCTAATAGCTGGGCTCTCCTTCCCTCAATCTTATGGGTGGCCTTTGCTCACAAACTCACTTCTTGCTGCTATTCAGAGGACTGCTCACCTTCAGATACGTTCTTCTCTCTTGGTCAGGCCTTCTGAACCTCAGACCCGAAGGCTGCAGGGTGCCAGGGCCAGGCTCTGTGTTTCCACCCGCTGTAACGCACTGCCAGACCTCACCAGAGCCTTTTTCTGCTTCCCTCACCGCTGCCCGCAGAAATCAGGAGCACAAGGCCTCCGGGCTGCATGCTTTGTCAACTTGTAGTAATCCTCGCTGCCTAATTATCCACTCCAATGCAATGATAAGGCTGCTTAATGATGCTGTTCGTTCATTCATTCCCTCCCCTCTCCAGATAAGAAAATGCAAAAACTGCACCTCCTGGTGATGACTGCGATCAATAATTTGTGCCCTCACACCACCAGTTCCAGCTCTCCCTTCCTCTCTTGGAGGCCCTGCTATTTTATCTTGTCATTTTAGCTTCCATTTTATCAGCTTGTTTTAATCATATTCCTTTTTTTAATCATCTAAAACAACTCTCTTTTTCCACAACAAAGCAGCACATTATCCCTCTGCCCGGCACACCTCACTGCATTTTCAGATCCAGAGTTTACATTTTCATCCCAGAACTGCGTGGTGATACTGATCTGCACATCCAGCACCTTCTCTTTCAACGATTTTCCATCGTGACCACAGAGACCAGTCCTGAAAATGTGGCACCTGAGTTCCTACGTGTGCCCCAAAGGGCAGAGAAAAGGCCTGAGGAATGCCTGCATGGCTTACAACAAAATTCTGACCTTAGGACAAAATTCGGACCTGCCAATTACATCTGTACCTCCTCAGATGTAACAGGCTGGGA